TCCAACCTCAGTTGTGATCCTATTTTATGATTCACTTCTGAATCTCTCTTTTAGGACTGAATTTCGTCTGAGTTTCTTATTCCAGAATCTGCTCACAGTCCCATTGTCACCTGCTCTTGCTTTTCCCCTACCTATCCTCTCACTGCCATCCTTCTCTCCTGTTCTTTTGCACAGACAGCCTTTACCTGGAAATATGCCACTTTTCCAGAATTTACCTGTCCATCCCTATGGAGGGGATCTTGAAAGCTACAGAAGCCTTGAAAGTAGCTAAACAGCTTCTGTGTCAGCACTGGCACTAAAACCCTCTTAGAGTTTTAAAATTTAAAAATTTAAGTTTTAAATTTTAATTTAAAAATTTAAATTTAACTTTTGAAATTTAAAAATGTGTAGCCTTATGCCCACAATTTTGCTAAGCAGAGCAACATTTGACCAAAATGAGCACCAGTCCTCACCTAAACTTGTGCTACTTCAGTTTCAAGCATTCAGAACATCTGTTTCATTTATCACAGCATAATTCCATTTGGAATTCTGGCTCTGGCCAGTTCTGAATGAGTTTTTTGAGTCTTCCTGGAAATACCAGTGTTTAAAAAAGCTCAGTCTAAACCTTCATATCAAGTTCCTAAAAGTCTTTCCAATGCTGTTTTCATAGAGGGCAGCAAAATTTGTAATTCTTGCAGTAGGTAGTGGGGAACTTAAATAACTAATTAAATAATTTAAGTAATCTCAGAAACTTTCCACAGCTTCCCAAAGATACTGAGAGGAGGAAAAAAATAAAAAGCAAAACAAGGGCAAGACGACAGAAAGGAGACACTGCAGTCACACTCCAAGGAATACTTAAGCTCTAATTAAAAGTAATGTTAAAAATGCATTAGTCATTAGCAAACAAGGTCACAGGCCCTGCTGCCCAAAGCATGTTCAGTAAAAATCAGCAACAGGGACCTCTGCAAAGCCCTTGATGTGGCCATTGCTGACGACTCTTATTTCTCTGTTACAGGCATTTTATCTGAGTCCAGTCCCTCCACCGAGGTGGGATCCTCAGAGGGGTTCAACAAATGCCTTTTGCACTAATTTTAAACAGTGTTTTTCATTCCATCAAAGCCCTTTTCATTGAACCACTGAAAGGGAAGGTTCAAACCCCTCAATTCTGTGGGTCACTCACACCTTTTGCTGGGTGAGCCCTGAGTTTCAAGCAGTATAAACTAAAAGAAGTAGGTTAAGAGATGAAGCAAAAGATAAGCCAAGATAAATGTGATACACAGCAAGCTCTGAAAGCAGGAGAAAGCTCAGCCAAACATGATAAATGGCTGAGTGTATTTTCATAGACCAATTTAGGCATTTTTTGGTCATGATGTTTTTTGTTCTGTGAGTTTTTTTCAGGCTCCCACGGAGTAAAACCTTCCATGAAAGTTTTCACACCTGTTTTTGGAGGGACAGAGATCTTACAGCAATTCTTCTATTTCCAAAAGAAATAATCCAGTACTCTTAATATCCCTGCTCCTCTGGATGGGAAGCCTTTACTGTGACTCATTGGCCACCATGTGCCATTCAGGCATAACAAATATGTATATAGCCAAACTTCCTTCTACAGAAAATCTTTATAAATGTTATACTTAAACATTGGGACCCATAAGGAGCACTTTTGCCTTCTCTAGGAAAAAGAACTATTCTATTTTCTCCACTTATCACCATCCCACTGATCTTCACAGTTCCTTTGTCTACTTTGCACTATGCTCACTAATTTGCTTTTAATCAATTACCAATCAGATCAGAGGGGAAAATTGCAGTTTGATTTTGGAGCTCGATGAAAATGCTGGTTTAATATCTCTTTGCAGGTAAAAGAATATGTTTTCTGTTTTAAAGTGCTAAGTTTAATAACAAAACTTTTAGTGCAGTTCCTTTCATAAATCTGCCACGGGAGAGTGGAGCCTTCACCTAATGCCAGTTAAGCCTTTATTTAAAAATCAGGTTAGATGAATAAATGCTGGGATCTGTAAATCCCAGCTGTTTGTGTGAAGTGATGAGTGAGATGAGCAGCTGGGCAGAGCCTTTCCAGCCTTTCCAGCCTTCCCAACCTTCCCAGCCCTCCCAGCCAGCTGGGCACACAGGTCAGCACCAGTTAGAACTTTACAAGCTCTTTCTGGTAACGTGCCAGGAAGAAAATGGACCTGGCTCCTGCCAAACTAATGAGCTGCAGTTTGGCTTTTGCTCAGACCACCTGAGTCCTCCTGGGACCTTAATTACACAGGGACCTTAATGACACAGGGACCTTAATGACACAGGGAGAGCTTCAGGAGCAGTTACAGAGATTTCAGTTCACAGGGACAGAACTCCTGTTTTTTTATCAACAGGGTGTTTTGCACAAACCCAGGGCAGCTGGGGCTGACCATCCCCTGCAGTGCTGAAGGGAAAGGTGGAGCAGTGGCTTAGTGAGCAGTTTATAGTTACTGAGTGACTTCTCCCAGCCCTGTGTTCAGCCCATGCAATGCAAACCCACGAGCTGCTGCAGAGTTCCAAAGCAGAAGTTTGTTTGCAGCCAAGCTCTTTTTCTTGGGCCCTGAAAATGCATCCCTATCTTTTCCTTATTCTGTATTTCCAGACCTAAAGCCTGCTGCCCTACTTTGTGTGTTTGCTGCAATAATCCTTCTGTCTCCAGCCTCACAGCACTATCAGGAGGAGCCAGAGGGTCTGAATGCTGAATCTTCAGTGAGTTGCTCTTTCCACTCCTCCCAGCAAAGGCCAGGATGGCTTTGGATCAGTATAACCAGACAAGTAACACTAATTTAATCAGTTCCTAATGGGTATCATGTTGTGACATCATTAAAAACTGGAAACTGGATGTAAAATGCAATCAAATCATAATTCTAATAATTTAACTCTGACTTTCCAAAAGTTGTTTTGCAAGGCACTCAACTGTGGCCACATATTTTCAAATGTCACTGAGACAGTCTTTCCTTTTTGGGTTTAGTTTTGCCCTCACCTTTGTGAAGAATGTTTTGGTAGTTTATCAGAGGAGGCAGTCAGTGTTTTTGTGGCAGCAGCTCACAAGAAGCCCTGAAAACGCTGACTGCACACGCTTTTCTGCATCCCTGCACATCTCCCCTGACATGGCTGGGTGCAAAGAGAGGGGGGACTCACTCCAGGGAACAACTGCAAATCCCTGGGGGACAGCTCTGATCAAACCAACCATTTGAATATTTGCTGCTTCCCTCCTTGTCTTCCCAAATCACATCTTACTTAAAGTTTGGCAGATCTGGACAAACTAGTGATGTTTTAGCTATTTGGCCAAAACACAACTCTGGATGAGAGAAAACACTGTGGGAAAGCATCTCTGAGCTTGGAAGACCTTGGGGACACTGGCAATGCTATGGGAAAGCTCAGTCACTTGAGATTTCCAGATATAAGTTCAGATACACTTTAGAACACTGACAGGGCAGCAGAGAAAGAGGTGGGACAGACTCAGAATGAACAGACTCAGTCTGGATCAAGGGGAACAACTTAAAAGTTCATCAAAAGCATGGGGAAAGAGAACTGATGTTTGAACTGAGCATTAGAGACAGGCAAATATTTGGGTCAAGTTAAACAAACTTTAGCTAAAGCATCAGGGAAGGTGGGAAAAGAGGCCCAGGTTTGGTGTAGAAAGAATCAAGATTGAAGTTTCACTGAGACAGAGAGGAAAACCCACTTTTTCCTCAAATGACTCCTTCCTTAAAGCAGCTGCTTTACAGCTGAGAATATCTAGGGCAACCTGGATGAGTATATTTAAAAAATGCTACCCAAGGTCATGAGCATGGGAAGAACCTGAATAACTGACTACAGGCTCTGAGTATGTGGCGACAGGACACAGGGGGACGGCGTCAAACTGGCAGAGAGGAGGTTTAGGTGGGATATTGAGAAAAAATCCTTCCCTGGGAGAGTGGGGGGGGCCTGGCACAGGTTGCCCAGAGAAGCTGTGGCTGCCCCATTCCTGGGAGTGTCCAAGGCCAGGTTGGACAGGGCTTGGAGCAGCCTGGGCTGGTGGAAGGTGTCCCCTGTGCAGCCCTCCCGAGGTTTCCCTGCTCCCAGGGGGAGCTGCCCTCGGGCACCGCTCAGTGGCAGGAGTTTATGCCCTGGTGCTTGTTGGGAGACATGAACTGTGAGATGATCTCCTGCCAAAGCTGGATTAAGAGAGGCTTTGGGGTCTGGTGGGACATGTGGAGCACGACTCTGGATTCCCCAGACATGCCAGTCTTAATACTTTTATTTTCCCTTTTCTAAAAATTCCTGGCTCGAATACCAGTTATATATCCTGTATTTGGGGGGATTCCAGAGCCATTTCAATTTACTTCTGATATTGGAAGCAGTGCTATTGTAATGAAAAGAGCCAAAATCAAGCTACTGAAGAGTTTCAAACACAGAGTATCACAACAAAGATGGTCCTGTGCAGGGCCAGGAGTTGGACTCGATGATCCTTGTGAGTCCCTTCCAACTCAGCACATTCTGTGATTCTGGAATTCTGTGAAAATACTTCCAGGAAAGGGCTGTCAATCACGGATGCATAAAATGGGGATTTAACTCTTTTGTAGCAGCTTTATAGCTGATCAGTAAAATGAGAGAGAAATATCAGTTTTCCTAAGGAGCTGGCACAGGATATGTAGCTGCTCAAAGGGCTTATTGTAGAAAATATATTTACCAGAGAGAAAATGAAGTCTGGAAGAGAACCAGCTCTGGGCTGAATGGATTTGAAAAGGCTCTTTCACTGCCTGTGTAAGTTTAGCCCATAAATCAAAATTATTAGGGCTTAATTTTTTAAAATTTTATTTCTTAACTGGGAGGAGGACCCGCTGCTAAAAAAGAAGCCCCCATCAATTTAACGGGCTGGTTTGCTGAAAGCAAGCAATTAGAGCCCGAGCAAACTGCAGCCTGGGGCACTGCAGGCAGCACCCAGCCAGTCTGCCCGGGAACCCTCTGCCCTCCCACACACACAGACACACGGACTGCACTGAAAAGCCACCCAGCTTTACCTTTCTGGAGCTTGGAGGCATTGTCCTGGATCCAGCTGAAAAGATTGGCAAAGTCACAGTCGCACACCCAGGGGTTGCCCTCCAGGCGAATAGTCCGCAGGGAGGGCAGCGCTTCCAGGGCTGCCACGTTGAGGCTCTGTAAGTTATTGTCATTCAGTTCTAACACTTGGAGCTGTTCCAGGTTCTCAAAAGCAGCCTCATCCACGTCCACCAGGTTATTGTTCCCCAGGCTCAGCTTTATCAGCTTCTCTGCTGATTTGAATGTCCCAGCATAAAGCTGCGTTAAATTGTTGTAGCTTAAGTCTAAATACACCAGTTTGGTAGAGCTGCTAAAAGTGCCCTCTTCTAAAGAGGTGAGGGAGTTATTCCTGAAGTCCAAATAGACTAGATCTCCATAAAATATAAAGAAATCAGCTGGTATCGCCTGAATGTTGTTATCAGCTATAAGGAGTTTCCGTACATCCAATGGAAAGGGATTAGGAACACTTGGGAGTCCTTGATCCCGGCAGTCTATGGTGTGGTAGTCCATACAGCTACAGGCAGCAGGGCAGAGATGACCCCCGGGCAGGAAAAGCAGGCAGGCAAAGGCAGCAAAAGGCAGGAGGCAGGAAGGGAAGCATGGCAACATCGTCAAGGCTCTGAGCGCGGGGATGAGCACCACTTCTAGGAGAAAGACATTTTGCTCAGCTGAGCAGGAGTGCCTGGTACTTGTGTGTGTGTGTGATTGTATCCAGGAGATCACATATCATCACAGATCCGATAGCAGCAGGCTGGGAGGGGGAGGGAGAGTGGCTGGAGGAGAGAGGGAGGGAGGGAGGGAGGCAAATGTGAGGATTTACACTGTCAGAATGTTGTGATGCTGTGCAGGGTGAGGAGAGCGATGATTGGGCACACGGAGGAGCTTTCAAAGGACTCCCTTGCTTTTGTGAGCTAAAAAAAGCCCAGAGCCTGTTTGCACATTTGCTGTATATTCCAGCAAACTGGAAATCACACCTGATCCTGTGACTCTGACAGCAACAGCTTCTGCTCAAAAAGCCCTCCAGGTTAAAAACTCTGATGAGATCACTTACTGTGCTTCTTAGCAGGAGCCTGCACCAAGGTGACCAATACCTATGGAAATCCAAACAAAACTCAGGCAGTATCCTGCAAGCCTTCAAAGGACTGTTTTCCCTTTCATTTGTAAAGCAGGGAGCGGAGGAGCAGCAAGGGGGGGAGCCCAAAGACAAGGAACACTGGCTTTGTGCTGTTTCTGGATGTTCTCAGCTGTTAGAGAATTCACCTAAATATGACTCAGTGTCCTTTAACCAAGAAGAATAACAGACTGCAGCAACAAGGAATATGGTCTCCAAAGTGAGGGGCTTTTTCCTTCCTGTTTTAATGACCCATAAAAGTGCAAATCGTGGATCAAATCTTCAGCTAGTTAAAACTGAACAGATTTTCTTCATTTTCAGGGGGCTGAAATACTTGACAGTCAATCTGCCTGTCTCCCATGGGACAGCAGAGATGATTTGGCAGCAAGGCATCTGTGTTTTCCTGAAGTCCCCCAAACCCACACCCAGAAAGGCAAGTCCTCAGCCAGCTGCACACTTAATTTTTAACTCCATCCCTCCCTCCTTGGTGTGTAAGCAGACAAACAGGACTGGAGTGCTGGGATCACACCTATGGAATATTTTTCTGGGGACAGCTGGTATTTGGGTGTGGGCATCCTGAGGAATGGAGCATGAACTCCAACACCTTTGGAAAGCTCATTCTTAGGGCAAAGAGAGGCCAGTAATCACAATTTAAGGTCAGATTTCATAAATGAATTCAGAATATCTTTCATCCAGGACAGGGTATGAAAATTTCCTTTTAAGACAGACTATTCTCCAAGATACCTGTACCTGGTCTCAAATAATGAAAAGCAGCATCAGCCACCTCTCCTTCAGTATGCCCAGAGAAACACTGACCTGCTGGGAGGGAATGAAGAGGGAGCCAGACTGTCCTCAATAGCACCACTGACAGAAAAAGCAGAGATGGACGCAGATTAAAAACCATCTGAACACAAGGAAACATTTCTCTTACTCTGAGGGTGGTCAGGTTGTCCAGAGAGGTTGAATATCCCCACAAAACCCAAGTGGGACAGCACTGGGCAAACTTGCTCTGACTCTGCTTGAGCAGGGGACTGGATGAGCTGATTCCAGGGGTCCCTTCCAACCTCAGCATTTCTCTGCTCTGCTGTCAGGAAACAAACGTGCCAGGAAGGTTTATACCTTTGAACACCTCTCCCATATTTTGCAACACACTTTGTTTCTAATTCATAGGTCTTTTGGCTAAAGAACCTTGAAGCAGCCTCTACATCCCTCCCATAAAGACATATCCTGCTCCAGGTGTCTTTCATGTCTTGAATTACTTTTAAAAAACCACCCAGAGAGAAATGGGCATAGCTGCCTCTATAAATCACCAGGGCAAAGCCCAAATAAATTCCTGAGATGATTATTTAAAATATTTACCTTTAAATTACAGAGGAAGTGGAAGTTTGACAGGCTACCTCTGATTGAAAAAACCCAAACATGCAAAATAAGTCCTGTGGTCAGGATTCAATGAATCAGCATCAACAAGCAACTGCAACTGGTATTTCTTATGCAGAACTGGTGCTTTTAAAATTTTTAAGGTTGTATCTTGCAAACATCTTGCTGTAATCTACTGTTTTTCTGCCCCTAATTCAACTTGGGCTTTAGGTTAGAGATAAAAGTGTTTTTAACATGGTAAAGCAGAGCTGATTTGATGTCTTTAGTAATGTAACTTTATATGGAGAGTTCCAGCTCTCTTTTAAGAGAAGTTATCTATACACAGCACTGAGGGGTCCCTGTGGCTCCTCCTCTGCAGACCCCCCCTTTTTGTATCAGATGCACAGAATCAGGCTCTGACATTTCCATTTCCAAGATGCCTCAGTGTTATTTTGCTGCTTCACAGATGGGAGACTACAGACAATAAGGCACGATTTGTGAAAGATCCAACAACATGTTAGTGGCAGGGCTAGGAAGAGGATTCAGCTTCCCTGAGAATTCCACCAGCCCTTGCTAAAACCCCCCCTCCTTTCTGCCAGGAACAGCCCTTCCTTTTGCTCCCCTGCTCCCCTGGATTCTTCCCCTGTTACCCCCTGTGAGCAGCAGCCCCTGGACCCTCGTTCTGCACACTCACATTTGCAGGTCCTGCACAGAACCTGGGGAGCTTTCCTGTCTGTGAAGGGGTCGGCAGAGGATGAGGGATCACTCCCAGGCTCGGGATATTTTGGGATAGGTATCCCCGAGGTCTGTCAAGCCCCAGCCCTGCTCCCACAGCATCCAGGCAAGGAGGGTTTCACTGCCCACGTGTGCCAGCTCAGCTCTGCTGCACAAACCCCTCTGCAGAGCCTGCCATGCTCTGACACCCTTCTATGCTGACTCTGATTTCAGAGGCTTTCATCCTGACCCATCTTTCTCTGTACAACGTTTCCCATTTCATTTTGTCTGTGCAGCTTTTGTAGCTGATTTCTGTCCCTCAGCTGTTTCCTTCACGGCACAGAAATTCTGGATCTCTCTGAAGCTTCGCTGGCTCGCCAGACATTTCGTGCAGTTTTGACTAGCAGGGAGGAGGTTCTGCAAAGCTTTCTATCTGATGAGATATTAAAGCTTTACTTTTTAAAACCTCCTTTGCATCAGGCAGTGACAGTAACCTCTGCTGCTAAATCAGGGGTGTGGCCTGTGAGCTGCTGAGTGCACAGCACCCTCTGGTGCCCTCAGACACTGGTCACCCACAACTGCTCTGGGCCCTTCTGATGAACCATTAGCAAGTTTTACACACTCCTACAGTTTATCTGCACTCTCAGGTTCCCTTTTCCCTCTTCCTATTAAAGAAAATAAATTATATAATCCAGATAGTGTTCTTATGTGCTTCCACCAGCACTATGGTAAAACATCAAATTGCTCCAGTGAGTAGTCTCAGAAATAAAGGTTTGTTTATAAATCTGTGCTTCTTCAGTGCTGCCAAGCAAAGCCCCACAGCTTTATCACCTGTTACCAAAAAATACTTGCAGCAGTAAATTTTAGTACATACAGGTTTGCAAAAGTACAAGCTTCCCAATTAGAAGTTGATGCCAAACAAAAATTCCCCAAATATCCTTCTCTCCATAGAGCTGGGATCCCTGATCAAATTTGATCCACTGATCAAATTTTGACTGTCAGCCCATTTATCCATAATCCTGGCTTCCAGGTTTCCCTAAAGGGACAGGATGGGTTTGAAAAACACCCTTGGTAACAATTCCATAATCAAAGAACTACAGAGAAGGAAAGCAAAGAAGCAAAACCAATTTCCCTGCTTACCTCCCAGTAGCAGGGGTTGAATAAACACAACAGAAGGCAGGCTTTGGACTAAAAACAATGATCTGGCTTTCCATTCTTTTAATTTTCTGTTCAGGATACTACTAGAAGAAACCTTGAAAATAAAAGCAAGTGTCAAACCACACTGGTCCTGAATCTTTAGTGTACTATCTGTACTATATCATGCCAAGCAGTAAGAAAAGAAGAGGAAAAACACTTCTGACAGAGTTTTCATGTTTCCCTTGGAAAATTCCACCACTCTGCGTAAAAGTGCTCAAAACTTCCCCAAATAATTTGAGTAATGGAAGAAAAAAGAAAGAGCAATCATTGTGCAGACACACGTGAAGGATTGGAACCTCAGCCAGTAAATCCTTCCTTACCAGAGCCTCAGACTGAAAACTGTCCATCCTCATTCACTTTTTTTTATTTTTTAGCAGCTAATTGAGCATATTTTTCCATGAAGGAAGTCATTATTCCAGGCTCATGCTTCGTTGAGCTGAGGCACATGTCGTGGCCGAGGCTGCAGCACCAGGTGCACGGGGGGATTGTGAAGGGTTTTCCTGCTCATTATCAGACATTAACGTGTCCTGGGCACCAATGCTGGAGCCTGAGTGAGGGACAGTGTGTTAATCAATCCATCAGGCACTGAAACCCAGAGCTGAACAGCACCTCTGAGCAGAAGTCCTGGTTTTATTCAGGTTTTACCATTTTGGCTTTAGCTGTTTTTTTTTTCTTTTGAGAAAAATCCTGCCCTGCTCTGACCAGGCAGGTTTTATGAATGCAGCCAAGGGGCACCTCTGGGCAGTTTTCCCTCTGATATTACACCTAAAAAAAAAAGATTGAAAAACTAAAAGGGGAAAATGGTCTATTCCTGTCCTAAAATTTACGAGCTGGTAGAAGCTGTGAACTGAAGCTTGTCTTACACCTGCCCAGGCCTTCTCTGCTGCTGCTCTGCCTCTGGGAGGGAAAATGCATCAAAATTAATCAACGTGGCAGCAGCAATGATTGAATCTGAAAACTTCAGACACTGCAGTTCAGCAGCCAAATGAGACCAGCCTAAACCCATCAGAAGACTTCCATCATCTGCCTTGTGCAGACATGTGGTCACTACCTTATTGCAAACCATTTTCAGTCACTAAAAGCAGCCATGAGAGACAAACAGCGTGAATTTTGTTTCCTTTTTCCCTCAGGAAGGAGTTTGTATTCAGTGCTACAGTGTAGTCTGCTTGCCCTCTGCATAGTTTGTGGACTGGTCCAGAATCACCACAGCTTTAAATCAAATTAAAGGCAATTAAATTAAAAGCCCTCCTAAGCTGCTGATGGAGATATGCTCACGTATATCCACTGCTGCTCTAATGAAGTCACAATTAAAGCTGGTCTCAGGGTCCTCCTCAAACACTATTTATTTGCTCAGATTGACCAGTGGGTCTGTCAA